CAACAACAACGTTAAAAAAAATTGGCTAATGTTTAGCTTGCAAGCTGTGTTCCATTACTGATGCTGTGCTTGAGAGCCAGGCAGGCAGCTCTGGCTAGGCTGGGGCTCAGCAGAGAAGCGATGATGAAGCAGCCCTGAGAGGCAGCCATCTGCCGGGTCCCCTGCCGCGGGATGTAGCCCCCCAGGGCACACTCAGAGCGGGCACTGAGGAGGCAGAGCGGTAAGGAGGAGCTTAGGTTGGCTCTGGAATTCGACTCTTTTGGGGTTGAGTCCTCTGTTCTTCCTCCCCGGTCAGCCAGGTGACTGTCGGCGTGGGTCCTCTCTGAACCTTGGCTGCTGCATCTCTGGATGTGTGGGGACTCAGTGAGATGTGTGAGCAGTGAGGAGGAGCTGAGCAGCAACCCTGAGGCCACCTGTGCAGGTCCTGTCAGGGACTCTGGGGATTGGAGTGAAAAGTAGGCCCTATTTCCTCCCCCACTGCCTTCTTGACTGACTGGTGTCTCCATCTTCTCAGGAGGCAGGGGCATCCTGTTCTAGAAATCAGAACTCTCCAGAATATGGCCTGGCTAATCAACCCAGACTCATCGTCCCCTCCCCACAAATGCCCAGCCAGTGCCTGTGGTGTGTACTGCTGTTCTCCCATCTCCCTTGCCAGGCCCACAAGGCTGCGCGTACCGCCCTCAGCAGTGCCTGGCATGCGCAAGGGCTGTCCGTGAGACCGCTGTTGTTCCACTGTTACTCCTGTCTTCTTGAGGCTTCCAGACACAGCAGGCCGGGAGGTGTTTTCTTCTCCCAAACCAAGAGTGACCTTGGGGCAAGCCTGGCAGAGGCTTGGAGAAAGGAGCCCCTTCAGGTGAGGCAGGGTAAGCCCCTGCCTCCGCTTCCTCACCTGCCCCAGCCGCGGGGATGAAGCCACCCCTTTGTGAGCTGCTATCCTGGGGGATGGAGACTCCAGGGCAGCCCCTCCAGGGCAGGGGTGATACCCCACTGAAGCACGGGGAGCTGGCACATAGCAGAGCCTGGCAGGGGCTCACAGGCGAAGGTGTGGAGTTTGCCCTTCAGCTGCTGCTATCTTCAGGGGCCCTTGCTTCCTAGCTTTCCTCTCCCCCACCTCCTCATGGTCTTTTACTTAGTAGAGCTCAGAGGGAGACTCCTTGTGAGGCGGCCTGGTGCGATGTTTTGTCCTTCCTTCAGGCTGCCATGGAAGCCCGGCACAGGAGGCCCCTGAAATAAGCTGGTCTCCCTTGGTGGGGAGGAGAGGCAGGGCATCAGGCAGTCAGGTCACAGGCTCGACCTGGTGGGTGATGGGGTGAAGATGTAGCACTAGGGACAAAGGTAGCTGTTTTCCACGGAGCAGGGGGTACACAGCATGCAGGAACCTGTCTGGAAGAGGGGGAGGAGTGTCTCCAGCCTGTCCCCGACACCTTTGACCAGGATCGATAAGGTTCCTTCATGCAGCAACCATCAGCAGTACTTACTGAGCAGCCACTGAGCGCTAGGCCTTTCCTTGGTCTGAGGGATACGAGGCTCACAGACAAGGCCCGGCTCTTCGCAGTCTGCATCCTAGTGGGACAAACAGGAACCCAGTGAACAGTACACCAACTGATGACGTCTGTTAAAGAAGGCTGGGAGAGGGCAGCGTGCATTAGAAGACCCCACCGAGGATCCCATGGTTGAGCTGAGGCCTAGTGGCTGGAAGGAGACAGCCACGTGCCTATCCCTGGGACAGAGCAGTCCAGGCACTGGGAGGAGCAGGCAAAGCCTCTGGGGCTGCAGCACGAAGAGAAGAAAGGCCAGGGGAGCTGGAATGCCGTAAGGTGCGAAGGCCAGAGCGGAACCGGCTAGCAAACATAGGGTCTTTTGGCCCTAGGAGGAGTGTGGTTTTATTTTAGACCCCGTAGGAAGCCTTTGGAGCCCTGGTGGTACAGTGGTTAAGGGTTAGGCTGTTAACCAAAATGTCAGCAGTTTGAATCCATCTGCTGATCCTTGGAAACCCTGTGGGGCAGTTCTCCTCTGTCCTGTAGGGTCACTGTGAGTCAGAATCGACTCAGTAGCAACAGGTTTGGTTTTTTGGGTTTCGGAAGCCTTTGGGAGTTTTGTTCCCAGGTTTGCCTCTTTTAAAGATTGCCCCAGTTGGTGCATGGAGGGTGAATGGTAGGGGGTAAGAGAAGCCCCAGGGAAACAGATTGGGAGACGTCTGAAGCTCACCCAGGGCAGTGGTGGTGATGTTAGGGTCAGGAAGCTGAGGCTGGATGTGCTTTGAAGGTGGAGCCCCAGGTGTGCCTGTGGACTGAATGGGGAGGGCTGGGGGTCCAGGACGAGTGCTGCTTTGGGGCTTGGGCAGCTGGATGGGCAGTAATACAGTTCACTGACATAGGAGAGGCTGGGGGAAACCAAAAGTCGGGGTGTGGACCTATGACATTTGAAATGCCTGTTAGGCAGGCAAGCAGAGCCATCCACTGGGCAGGCTGTCCGAACCAAGCTCAGGGACTCAGGGCGGGGGAGGCACTGTCATAGTCTGTGAATAGTTATGGGACCAGCTGAGACCTACCCCTGCCCCCACCCCCACTCACCCCCCTGCCTTTAGAGAGAAGCAGAGGAGAGGAACAATCTGTGAGCAGAAGGAAAACCGAGAGAGTATAGTGTCACTGACTCCAAGAGAAGTGTTTCCAGAAAACTCTTGCCTTCCTGTCGCCTAGTCTACATTACCAGGGTCTTTGGTGCACCAGGAGGCCTCTGCGCCACCCTCCTCACTAGCCACCCGTCCTTTTTCCTATCTCCCAGCACCCTCCCTGCCATCCTCGCATGCCACCCCCTACCCTCCATTGCGCCCTGACCCCTGGAAAGTGCTGCCTGGCAGCGGCCTCAGCTGTCGGCCTCTGTCATGGAGACGGTAGCAGCTGCAGGCGACGGGCACTTGTGGCCATTTGTCAGAATGCTCCCCTGCTCCCGGCCCACCCTTCTGGAACGTTTCTATCCCATGGCCCCGGAGACAGGGCTCATCTTGGGGTGGGCAGGACCAGCAGGGGACAGGCAGCGCCGAGGGAAAATAGCCAGCGCCACTGCCTCCAACCTTTGGCTGAGATAGCCCGACCGGGCTTCCCGACTGTGAGCCAGTTCTTTTCTCACCGTGGGGGCTCCAGCCCTAGTGGTACCATTTACCAGATGCTGTGTCCCTCAAATGAATTATCTCCAGGCTTCACAGCTGCCCCATGAGTTGTACAGGTAGGTAGTACCCCCAGTTAGAGACAGTGACATTGCACAGAGGGGTTAAGATCACACTGGGCGTCCAGAGCACCAGCTCTGAGGCCTTCACCTCTCCATCTAGCCAGGTGAATGGGAGCCACCAGGTGATGGCAGTCCTGGGAGTCCATGTCACTTTGTTCCAGTGTCCACCCCACTCTCCCTCCCCACATCCCCCACCCACTCCAGCCCAGTCCTGGGCCTTGTTTTCATATTTCAAGCGGTTTCTCACCCAAGTCAGCTGGTTCCAGCTGGGGCTGGGCTGGAGACGGCCTGCCCACTGTTTGCGCTTTGTGGTTTGGCCTCTTCATTACCAAATGCTCTGGGATTTTGCTGAAGCCAGGGCTGAGGCTGTCTTCTCCTGCCTGGCCCCAAGCCTGGGATTCCAAGGGAAGCAGGAAACTAGTCCCTGATAATGCTGAGTTTAGTGCCAGTTCAGTGACCTGGGAGGATGTGGACATGTTTCAGGCTTGTTGGCTCAAAATGTGGCTCAAGTTTGTTCACACAAGTCCTTGAGACCTCGAACTCAGCTGTACAAGCCCATGGCCTACTCTGGGGGTGCTTCCCAGGATCAGAGACTAGAGGGAATCAGGCCAGCAGACGTCAACCCCAGACAGGGGGACTGCGAGGGCAGGGGACCATGCCAGCGCAGCCCCCAGAGGTCTGGAGCCTGGCAGGGCCAGGAAGCAGGTCTGTGTGCCCATGCACCCGCCCGCCCACCCCCCGCACTGACCGCCGACCTGCCCCTGCCTCATCTCAATCCGAGGATCCCAGGTGGGAAGCCGCAGCCTAGGCTGTCTTTGGGAAGCTCTTCCCCTCAAAAGCCGAGCCTCTGTGGTCACAGTAGCAGCCTGGGCAGGTCGAGGGCTTCCTTTGAGCCCATCCTGGAGACCCACTTGTCACTGGTAACGTCACCACCCTCCCCCCGGGGACCCTGGAGAACTGCCTTTCTTATTCTCTGGGTTCCCTGTGTTCCTTTTCTATAAAATGGAGATTCTTTTTCCACAACCCCAGTCCTCATTCCACAAAGACTCTCAGTAGAGGAGAGGTGGTAGAAAGGAGACGTGGCTGAAGGGTCCCTGGAGCCAGGCTCTGGCTCTATCCCACCCTTTGACCTTGGTCGGTCACTTAACCCCCCTCGGCCAGAGTTTCAGTGTCTGTACAGTGAAGATCCAAGTCTTCCACTGCCTCACTCAGCCTTGTCCCAAGGATTCATTCATTTACCAAGGGTCGATGGACCCCCTGCTCCTTGCAGGCACCATGACAGCACAGACGCAGCCTCTGCCCAGGGGGTTTTCATGGAGATGGGGGGCAGGAAACAGATGACCAGGATATGCACAGTTTGTCAGCTGGAGATCAGCTCTATGGAGAGACATAAAGCCAGGAAGGGGGCAGAGAATGCCTTGGCACATGGGGCGTTGCCATTGCGTGTGGGAGGCCTGTGGCTTTAGCGGTAGCTGAAGCTCCAGCTGTTTCTCTTAGAACTCCGTTTTCTTCCCTGGGGTGGGGCAGGGGGCCTGGCAGGGAGGAGGAGGATAAATTTAGCCTGTGGGGCTCTGAACTTGCTGGGTGGGAGTGGGCAGTGTTGGGAGGGGTGGGGCCAGGCTTCCTTTGATCCGAGTCAGCAATGCCCCCCAACACCGCAGAGTCGGGGTTCGACACAAGCCCCAGGAAAGAGCAGGTTTCCCCTGGACACTGAACCCCACGACAAGCTCCAGGTGGCCTGAGCCATAACCTCCACTGTGACTCTTCTCCAGGCAGCTCTGTCTCCTGCTGAACGCAGAGAACATCTTCCACTCAATGGCAGACATTCTGCTCCGAGAAGAGGACCTCAAGTTTGCCTCCACCATGGTCCACACCCTGAACACCATCCTGCTGACCTCCACGGAACTTTTTCAGCTGAGGAACCAGCTCAAGGACCTGAAGACTCTGGTACTCCATGCCCTTGGGCTCTAACCGGGTATTGTCCTCAAGGCAGGCCAACTCACAATGGTGCCAGCCCAGCCCTCAACCCACCAGGCTCGTGGGCAGGACGTGGGGTAACATATACAACCCACAGGTGAAGGGCTGCATGTCAGCTCCAGCTCCAACTATTTGGAGATACCCACTGTGAAGTCTCTGCCCACCTCCAGGGTCCACACACCCACCTCTAGTGGCCACACGTTTCCCACTCATTGACACCCCTACACCATGCACCCTTCCTCACACACAGGGGGCTCCGCTGGCTGCAGTTCCAGAGCCCAGGCCAGCTGAGGCTTCTCAGAACCAGGCCTGTGGATTATAACTTGCAGAGGAGTAAGGAGTAACTGCTCCCTTTGTCCTTCTCCTGGGCCCTGGCCCTTGCCTCCCACAGTTGAACACATAAGCCAGGTGTCACACTGCTGCCTATTCCAGGCTTTGGTAAGGGTTCTCCAGGGCTGGTCAGAGGGATCAGGGAAGGCACTGCAACTCCCCTGTTCCACAGAGCAGGATGGAGAGATGCAGGTTGAGGGCCCAGTACAGGGGGAGTGGACTAAGAGGGCCTCCCAGGTGAGTGCCGTATGGAGGCTCTAGAGGTACCATTCCCCCAGTCTGGGCTGTCATCCCTCCATGCCATTCTCCCACCTCAGACCCTGCAGACCCTGCCTTCTCCCCCTTCACCGGGCATCTCAAGGACATACAAGTGTCTGAGGGCATCTGGAGCCTAGAGGCTCGGAATGATCCAGGCCACAAGCCCTGCCTTCTTCCTGTGGTTCTTTCCAGACATTCGCAGAGGCCTTAAGAATTTTCCTCAAGGGCAGGGTCTTCCCCAAGTTTGGGCTCAGCTCCTGGGCTGGTTGCCAAGTACACAAGGTGGGCTGCAGAGGAGGGAGGCATACACTTGGAGAGCCTGGCACTGCAGAAGCTTCTTCCTGCTGTACCCTCTAACCCCCTCGCCCTCCCATCCCTGAGCTGGGACCACAGGGTTCTGGAAAAGACAGTGACTGTTATTTTGCTGAGGGCAGAAACGCCAGCACAAATGAGAGGGCTCCCTCCTGACCGGGCCCTCACCGCCGCCACACGGCTCCGTGAGCCCTGCTGGCTCTGTGGAACAGGGAGGTAATGACAGGGTCTGAGGAGGAGCTGTCAGTGATTCCTTTGTGACAGCTCGTTCGCAGCTGTGCTGCCAAACACAGCACGAGTGCTGAGCTGGCTCCCTGTTCCTGCTCACAAGGGCCCCTGTTCTTGGACACCCATGGCCCTTCCTTCTGCAGGACCCTCTGCAGTGGCGGGCTTTCTTACCTTCCCACATCTCCTCGTCCTTCTCAGGAGAGCCAGAACCTGTTCTGCTGCCTGTACCGCTCCTGGTGCCACAACCCAGTCACCACAGTGTCCCTCTGCTTCCTCACCCAGAACTACCGGCACGCCTATGACCTCATCCAGAAGTTGTATCCTTCACTCTGAGTGTTCTTCAGGTCTGGCCACTGAGGGACAGGAGGGAGCCAGGTGCTCCCTTCTACCCAGCTGGTGGGCCCAGGTGCCTCGTGTCTCCTGCACTCCCACCGCAGCCTCCAGGGCTGGGACATCATGGCTGAGGTGGGGGCAGTGTGTGGATGTATTTGTGGGGCACTGTTAGTAGCAAACGGGGGCCATTTGAAGGCCTCCTAGAGGAAAGCTGGCTCTGGAGAAACCTGCTCCCACAGCACACAGTTCTTGTTCCAGGCCTGGAGCTGGGGGTAGATGAGGACGAGGAGGAGGAAGTTGTGATTCTCGTCCTAAAGGACATCTCAGCCAAGGGAGGGGTCAGGTGCATCAGAGGACAGCAGCAGAACCAGGTGATGTGGTGGCAGTCCAGAGCTACAGGTGGCCAGGCTGAGTCTGGACGGTGAGCAAGAGGGCAGGGCTGCCCATGGGATGTGGCGTGAGGTGGAAGGAGCCAGCCTCGGTGGGCTCACCTGGCAATGCTGCGGAGTCGGCTTGACAGTCCGTAGGGAGCCCCTGAGGGCTTTGGAGCAGGAGAGGAGCCGTGCCAGCTTTGGGTTTTAGAAAAGCTGGCCAGAGACGCTGTGGGGGAGACCTGAGGAGCAGGAAGATGTGGGACTGCTGCAGGCGCCTGGGTGAGGCCTGCAGGCTCAGGTGTCAGCAGTGGAGCAGGTGAGGAGAGAAGGGACCTTCAGGGGCCACAGATCTAGAGCCAGTAGGGCTCTTCCTTTCCGTGACCCTGAGACTAACCGGAGGGCCACCAGCCTGTTCCACGTGCTGTGGCCCTGATATTGGCACTGCTGGGCGCTGTCCTCTCAGGCAGGAGCAGGCCCTTCCAGCGCAGCCCTTCCCGCATTGTTCCCCAACAGGCTGCAGGGCTGTGATAAGAGCCTTTCAGAGCCCAGGTGGGCGCAGAGGAGAGAGTGCTGGAGCAGAACCCAGAGCTTCAATACAGGAGAGATGGCTACGTGCTTTCCACTGAGAGGGGCAGAGATGCAAAGAGGGGAAGAGAATTATGCCCTTTGTATGCAGAATCCTTCTTTGCCAGAGCCAGGTGCTGTGCACTAGAAACCAGCAGCAGGCGGAGAAAGGGAGCAAGGCACTTAGACCTCCAGGCCCACCCCCTGGGTTCCAGCCTTGGTGTCACCTCCTTGCCAGGTGTGACCAGCCTGGGGCCAGCTCTCCAGGTGCCCCCACCCCCCGCAACCAGGGCTAGGGGCAGTGTGGAAACTGGGAGTTGGCACAGTCTCTGCCCATAGTGCCCTCCGCCCCTCACAGGGACAGGGGCTGCCCAGGCCCAGTGGTCAGACTTCCTTGACCACCCACTCAGCGGGGACCTGGAGGTCACCGTGGATTTCCTCACGGAGGTGGACAAGCTGGTGCAGCTGATCGAGTGTCCCATCTTCACATGTAAGAGTCCTGCTCTGGCCGCATGTTACCCAGCACAGCAGGTAGACAGCACCCGCAGAGAGGTGCAGTGGAGCCAGGCCCAGAGAGGGAGGGCAGGCCATAGTCACCCCAGGATGCTTCTGGAATGTCAAGAATGTAAGGGGGGAATGACAGAGCTGAGAAGACCAACCGAGCAGGGTTGGCACATGTGCGTCAGAATGTGGTCCTGCCTGTGCCCTAATCGTGGACACAGGCCAGGGCTGGTGGTCAGACCCATCTGCAGGTGACTGTCAGTCCCTGCCAGGGGTCTGTACCAGTGTTATTGTGTCCTGGGCTGTCCCCACCACCGCTCCCAAGCATGCTGCCCTCTGCCCTGGCTCTTAGAAGTTGTGGGGCATCTTGGGCCCACCCGTAGGTGCTCCTGTTTGCCGGGAGCCACGCCTTCTCCTCTCTGGAAACAAAAGTTAATTTGCTGGGAGCTGATGGGCAGGAGCTGCCTGATTAGTAACACCCGGGGAGAATGTGCAAAAGAGGCAACTGGCTGGGAGAACAGTTTTTGGCACCTCAACACATACAACACCTACTCCCTGAAGCCCGCCGCACTCTGACATGCATGTGTTTACAGCATGGGAGGGAAGATGGAGGCAGCCCGCCAGGGGCCACCTTCTCCGCCAAGCCAGTCACCCAGGCTGCCACTCAGTGACCCGCCCAACCAGAGCCCTTCAGCCTTCACCCTGGAGCCCAAAAGCAAGTGCAGAGACTGAGGCATCCACCTCCCCTGGCTTTCCCTAGCACCCTTTCAGACGGCCAGTATCCCCAGACAGCAGGGTAGCACAACGACAGATGCCCTGGAGACAGACAATCAGGAGACAGAACTGATTCCCAGCAGAGTATATTAAAGCCTGGTGGTCCCCTGGGCTGACATTTCACTTCCCACTGGCCTTGTGCCAAGGGCCTCTTGGGGCTAGCAGGCCAGCACGCACTCACTCACCCAGGGCCAGGGCGAGACTGACCCTGGAGAGCCAGGAGCCCTTCTCAGGTCCAGGGCTTTGTTAAAACAAGGTGACCACAGCGTCTTATAGACTAGCCCAGCCCTTAACCCATCACCAACTTTTTTTGGAAGTTTGTGGATCATCCTCCAAAAAAGGATTCCCTGGACTGGCCAAGAGACGCAAGAAACCAATGATTGTCCTGCAGGGGCTCCTAGGAGAGAGGCCATGTTCCCTCAGCAGCAGCCATGCAGTGCGGCCAAGCTTGAGGCACAGAGTGTTGGTGAACCAGGAGGCAGGGGATCCAGGGGGTGCAGGAGCCAGCAGACTGTCCAGCAGAAGCATGAGCCTGTTTGAGTCCAGTCTCTCCCCTATGGGCCTTGGGAAAGCTGGGACTCCTATGGCAAAACCAGCCCCCATCGGGGTCCAGGCACCTCAGAGTTGACTGGGTGCTGGGCAGAGACCAGGGGTATGTCTCCTTCCCTTCTGGCAGATTGGTGGCAGGGCTGGCATCTGAGTGGGGTTTTCAGAGCACCTGCCCAGCACTCCTGGACTTCATGTGTGTTTAGTGCACACAAAAGCAATTTCCACTCTGTCCTCCCTGAAAGCTGTCCTAATCCACCATCTTTCTCTCCAGCTCCCCTGCTTATAGCTCTCTGCTGGCACATGCGGAGCAGACAGGAATCTGCTCCACTACAAGCCCTGAGCCCTCTCATGATGAGGGAGGCAGCTCTGCACAGGGGGAGGGGACCAGGCCCAGCAGCAGGGTTGGGGTCACCAGGCTGAGGTGGCTGTTGGAAAGACCAGACAGACGGGCAGGTGGGTAGTAGGAAGAAAGAAAGATGAGATCATGGAAACAGCCAAGACACTGCTGGGGGGCAGGGGGCAGGCTTGCCTGGCTTTAAAGGACCCCCTGCCTTGCCCCCAGGCACACCGCCAGGGAGCGGTCCAGTGCCGGTCCAGGGAGGTCTGGGCTGGGTGGAGTCCAGGGCCATGCCCACCCTGAACCTGCCCTCTGCCCTGCCACAGATCTGCGCCTGCAGCTGCTGGATGTGAAGAACAACCCATACCTGATCAAGGCCCTCTATGGCCTGCTCATGCTGCTACCCCAGAGCAGCGCCTTCCAGCTGCTCTCGCACCGGCTCCAGTGCGTGCCCAACCCCGAGCTACTGCAGACCGAGTGAGTGACGCCGAGGGAGGCTACCATCCACACCACAGCACATTTCCACATCAGAGCCAGGCTGGGGGATTCTGGGAGTGTTTACAAGGTGGCAAGGCAGTGGCAGTACCTTCTCCAAGCAATCAGGGTTGAGATGAGGAGGCCAGCATTTAATCTAGAAATCAGAGGGCATCTTGGAGATACCCAGAAAGGCCTCAGGAGAGAACCTCTGAGGGGGAGGAGTTTCTCTCTTACATTTGGGCACAACAGCCAGGGAGGGCCTAGTTGCCGGCACCTCCCAGGCCTCAGACAGGCTTCCCCACCCCAACTGTGGCAGGGGCTCCAACCTAGGGCACTGAGAGACTCCGGCATCCTTGACATCTGCCCCTGGAAGAACACGTCCCAGGTGTGCCACCGCTCAGAGACCTAGCATGGCAGCCTCTGGGCAGGAGGGCTTCAGCCCTTGGGGGGGTTCAGGCTCCAACCCTAAACCCATTGCTGGCCCAGGCCCTCGGGCCTGTTGGGCTGTGTCTATATTTGGTAACCCTTGGAGGCTCTGCCTCATCCACAGGCATTTGGCATCCGAGATGGAAAATTTCACTTGTCAGGTCGCCATGGAAACAAGCAGAGCCACTGAGAAGATTTACGCTGAATGGAGTGTGCCCAGCTTGCATCAGATGCCCTGGGTGTCTAGAATTCCCTCCCAGGCTGTGAGAGCCACTCAGCAGGCCTGGCGCCATGCTCCAGCACAGGGCCCATGGCATTGGCCCTGGGGTGGGTTCAGGCAGCTTTGTGGCCTGCCTGGCACTCGGCACCTGACTACAGCCCCCTGTGCACTCCGTACCCCCTGGGCTTGGGTCTCCACCACCCTCTCCCGCCTGACCTGGCCTCCCCTGAGGCGGGTTTGGGCACCGATGCATTATCTGTCTCAGGTCCCAGCTCCTACTGTCCCTTCCCCCAGCCTGGACAGTGCTCCAGGATAGCGGGGCTGGGCCTGTCCCAGCTGCCCACAGTGCCAACCAGGTAATCCCCAGAGAGAGCTTTAGGCACACTGAGTTTCCCAGAGGAGCAGGGAAGCAGCCTTAGAGTTGTGCTTGCATTTGGGTTTCCTCAGCCACTGCTCCTGAGACTTGGAGGGAGGCCATGAAGCTGCCAGTGCCTTGCTGGCCTGGGTGTTAGGGTTGTCCTAGCAGGCACTTGGAAGAGGAGGAGGCAGGAAGCCACAGGAGCCCAGCCTGACTTCCTGGGGCAGCCCCTTGACCAGGCAGTGGGCCCTCACATGGGAAGGGCTGCTGCTTTCCTCAGAGTTCAGTGTGCTGCACCCCTCCTTGTGGGGAGGTGGGGCTCAGAGCCCCTGGGCCCTCTCCTGGGGGCTTCCAGGATGTGAAAGCCTCTTGGATTTAGGGCCACTTTGACCAGGGAGGGAGCCTACCACCTCCAGCAGACTCTTGGAGTCCTTCTGCTGGTCTCAGGCTTCCCCATCAGTGTATAAAGCCCACGCAACCCTGGGCTCATTGTCTACAGACCCAGGATCATGGGCAAGTAGCCTCCGGGAGAGACTGCAGACATCGTATGCCCAAAGGAAGTGGGCCCTATGGTCAAAGACAGCCCCGAACCACAGGCCTCTAAGAGTCCTAACCCCAGGTGTGTTGGGTCAGGGTAGTGGGTCAGACAGTGGGTCCTGAGCCAGGCTGTGAGTCAGTTTCTGGGAAACTTGTGAAAATTCAGAGTCCTACCCCAGCAGGCCTGCTGGGTCCCCATCTGGGGGACTGCATTTAACGGGCTCCCCAGGTGCTTTGGTTACAGTCAGCCAGGCTTTGGGGAGGCAAAGGTAGTACCCAGAGGGACCACCCCACTGACTGCTGGCCCCAGACCTCATCACCTCCCAGCACTCCCCAAGGCTGGGCAGAGCAGGTTTGCAGAGGGGAGCTGGGAAAATGAGGGTTCCCTCCAAATCCCCCATGGTCAGGGGCAGGCAAGTCTTCGGCCATGGTCGCAGGTCTGGGTAGAATGGTCTCGGTAGAAGGCTTTCTGGGTCAGAAGGCAGTGCTAGCCTGTACTGGGATCTCCAGTGGCCCCACACCAGTCTCAGCCCTTCTTCATGAGTAAGTGCACATTTGGGTTAAGCTGGTGCTTGAATTCTGCCTAGCCTCCAAGGTCTTGGCTTCCCAGCCTTCTAGCAAGGACCTGGGAAGAGAGAGAGATTTGGCCAGGGGAGCAGGGGCGAGGAGGGGCCCTGGAACAGCTGGGGAGGGTCAGGTTGCAGGGTAGGGCGTAGAGGGGCATTGCACACCCTGGGAAGGGGCTAAGGCCAGGCTCAGCCCTGGGAGGGACAGGCAGCTGGAAGGCAGCATCAGGTTGCCTGACAGGCCTGCCAGCTGGGAGCAGCTGGGGCGTCTGCGCTCCTCGCCCCCACCTCACTGGGTGTGCACAAGGCACCAACAGGGCTATGTCTGTGGCCCCGCCTCAGGCTTCCAGGCCATTCCTGAGGGGGTGTCTCTTCAGTGAGGCAGGAGAATCTCTGAAGGAAAGGCTGATGACCCTCAGCTTTAGCCTGGTGACAGGTGTGTGGGTGGGGTGGCAGGAGAGATCCAGCTTTGGGTTCTGGAATCCCAGCTCTGTGGTGGCCTCCAGTAACTCATTGCCCAAGAGTTGTCAACGTAGAGAGAACTTAAAGGGCCTGAGCTGCGGCTCCGCCTGTCGTGGCCGGCAGGAAGAGGAGGGGCTGTCCTGGCCTCCATACTTAGCTGCCCCCTACCCCCGTGGGGCGCACACCTCTCCCTTCCCTCCCCTGCTCCCAAGACCTCAGGCCAGGAAGGGTCTGCCCACAGGGAGGCTGGAAGAAGTCCTGCTCATCACTGGGGCCGCTGTGCCTTGTGACCAGAACAGCCCAGGCAGCCCTCCCTACCCAACCCTGGCCTCATCTGTGCACATCACCCTGGGTCTGCCAACCATTGCTAGCATCTCCCTGGAATCCCCTAACCTCGGTTCCTCCGCTGGGCCTGATTTACTTGGCTTGCCAGGAGTGTTGTAGAGTGTGGGCAGACAATTTAGGGGTTGAGACAGTACAGCCCATGAGCACCCAGCATCAAATGACATCCTTCAGTGTCATCCTGTGGCCTCGTGTTTCCAGGCCAGCACATCTCTCCCCATCCTGGCCTAAGTGGGTTGGGGCTAGCATCTGGCCACCCCTTGAGTCAGGGCTGCAAGCTCCAGGGTGTCCCTTGTCATCCTCAGAAGCTCACGTCGCTCTCTTAGGGCCATGGTACCTGGGCCCAGGGTTACAATTCCCAGAGGAGTTGCAAGCAGCAATGTCCAGAGCTCAGAGTGCTGCCCACAGTCTGACCACCAAGAGTGGGCACCACCTGGCTCCTTTTGATCGTAATATTGAGTTAAGTTGAGTGAGCCCCAGGAAGGAGGCAGCCCCAGACACTGCCATCCATGATGTTTTCAGGTGGTGCATCTTCAGCAGGGAGGCAGAAGGGGAACAGGTATGGGGCCAGGCAGAGGCCGAGCAGGGGTGTAGGAGGCCACCTGCAGGTGGGCATCTAATCATGGGTGGGGTTTCCACTGCCCCTGGTCCTGCCCCATCAGCCCAGTGGCTTGTCACGGATGTCTGTCTGGCTCTAACCGTTGGTTGTCCATGCCTGGCCAAGTTGTGTTACCAGGGGCCAAGCTCATTGGTGAGGTTCTGTCTGGCGGAAGCGCACTGTGTTTCCCCCAAAACAGACTGAGCAGCTGATGTGTGCCAGGCCTCGAGCTGCTGGGCTTTGGCTGGCCTCACCTCAGAGGGCCAGAGCGGCCGCAGTGGCCGCCATCAGGAAACTGGGTGGGGCTCCAGGCTAAGCTCTTACACTGGTTGACCTGTCTTTAACATGAGGAAACTGAGTCACATGCCCAAAGTCAGACAGCTAAGAAGTGGTGGTATTATGGTTGGCTCCAAGTCTGTCTCTTCATGAACTCATGTTGGGATCTCTTCATGAACTCAAGGGCCCAAGGATCTCTGCTTAGCTGAACAGCCCACCAGGCCTCGGGGGCTGGAAACAGATACTTCCCAACCCACACAGCGAACACGAAGGCAAAGTGGAGAAACAATATTTCACAAGTCTCTGCTAGGATGGTTAGGAATGGGACAGGAGGCCCAAAGGGATCCAGTCCTCAGTGGCAAGCTCAATGCTGGGCTTGAGGTGGGGGTGGGGTACAGCCAGGCTACTGCATCGCACAGCTATAAGGAGCACATTGTAGTTGTGCAGTGCACAACCCATGCTGCTGTACAGAGCAGCTGGGGAGGGTGGTGGCAAGAGGAGGTATAGGAGCCGTTAGCATTCCCAGTGGTGAGAACAGCTCTCCTTCCCCAGGGACGGAGGAGGACTGTGGGCCTCAGGCCTCAGCACTCAAAAACAGATGCCCTGCCCAGAGAAAGGGCCAGGCTGTGTCCTCCCCGTTCTCCTCAGACCCTGTTCCAGGCCCCAGCTGGCTTCCTGGCTGGCTGCTAGCCCTGGCTTTCACCCCAAAGGGAGCCGCTCATAAACAGGAAATGCTTCCCGATGAGATGCCTGCTCTGGGCACCATCACCAACCCACAGGCTGAGGGTGATATCCAAGCTGCCAGGCAGCAGTACTGGCTAATCCCACCAACTGCGGGGGTGGGAGTGGGGGGGTGATGCTCATAGGGCTTCCTGACTCGGGGGCTGCAGAGATTATGGAGCTGTGGCTGACTGTTGGGGAAAGGTTGCCAGGCCTAAGGCAGGCAGACAGACTCTGAGGCTGAGCTCTAGATCCCACTGCCCTCCTATGCCAGGCACAAGTGGGTCCATCCTATGGCAAGGCGCTCTTCCTTCAGTCCCCCATTGTGCTGATACACTGACCCCAAGCTCTTCTGCTCCCCCTTCTCAGAGACAGTCTGAAGGCAGCCCCCAAATCCCAGAGAACCAACACCCCCAGCATTGACTACGCAGAGCTGCTGCAGCACTTTGAAAAGGTCCAAAACAAGCACCTCGAAGTCAGGCACCAGCGGAGTGGGCGTGGGGACCACCTGGACCGGAGGATCGTCCTGTGACAGACCTGGCATGGTGAAGGGCCCATGAAGTGGTCCCATGAAGCGGTCCCATGAAGCGCTGGGGCCTTTAGGCCCCCTTCTCGAGGAGCCCAACCAAGGACCTGCCTGTCAGGGTAGGGCTAGGCCTGGCCACCAGCCGAGCACTGGGTGGGGGGACAGAGGTCACTCTGTCCACCCAGGCTCCTCTCTCAGCCCAGTTCCCTGGGCATGCAGCTGCACCCTGGCACTCAGTTGGCTTCCCACCCAGGGTGGGGCCACAGCCTCAGATGTCATCACCCATCCTTAAAATCAGTCTCTTTCTAGTACCCTCTTGTACAAGAGCTTGACCTCCCCAGCCCCCCATAGCTGTCCTTGTGCGTCTGTGTGTATACATCCTCTGAACATGCACGTATACACGTAGGGGCCAGGGGCCAGCACAGAGGTCTGTGCTGAATGACATACTCCCTGCCCCAATAAAGAAATGAGAGCAAACCCTCACCTCGTTGCCTGCCTGCTCCTTCCCAGGTGGCACTTGCCCCCGCCTGATGCTGCAGCTGCCGCAGGGCATGGCCTCTTGTCCTGGAGACCTGGTCTCATGGTGGCCGGGGGTGGGCTTACTGAGCCAGGTCCCTGGACACTCGCCTGACTGGGGTTGTGGTTCTGAGTCCTAGCTCTTGGCCTCTAGGATGGTTCCTTCTTCCTGGATATCACCAGACACACCTTCCCTGGCTTGTGACCCTGAAACCTGTCTTCCCCCAGCACCTAATCCAACTTTTCCATCAGGGGCAGTGGGACATCTTTCCATTGGACAGATAGAAACTGAACCTCAGGAGTTTCCAAAAGAAGGGGCAGTGCACCCCAGAGAACACTGCAGAGCACTGGGCAATGGAGGGGGAGGCCTAAACCGGTCCAGGGAGGATGGAGGCTTCCCAAGTGCCCCCCGACTCTTGGTTTGGCCGAATGAGCCCCACCTCACCCGCACATCAGTCTGCAACCCTTGGCTTTAGGAAGCTTCGGTTTGGCCTCCTAAGGTGGCTCCCGCAGGCCCTGGATGGGGAAAAACGAGTTTGTGCCTGCTTTTCCCCGCATGCGCCGCCGCGCGCCGCCCCACGAAGCTGGGGTTGCCTGCCTGGAGTCTTCAGGACTTAGGGCTGAACGTGCCGTGGCCTACGTGCACACGGTACGTCTCCCGTGCACAGGTATTCAGGGACCAAGACCTCTGCTCGGTCGGTCTTACACGGGCCCCCACCACCAAGGGAGGCTGTGCCGGAGGGCCAGGCCACAAGCCCCCAAAAGCCTAGCCTCGGGCACCTCACCTGAGTGGCATCGGAACTACAGAGCTTATGGAAGAGAGTCTGAACTGTTCCGAGCCAACGGCGGGCGGCCCCAGGACGCCCTGCGCCCCTGCTGTACTGTCTCCTACCCGCTCTACTGTCTCCTACCCGGGGGATGCACCCGGAGGACCCCGTCCCGCCGCCCTGCGGGGGTGCTACCCTCTGATGGCCTGTTGCAAGCGCGAGAAACCCCTGTTCCGAGACCAGAGGCTGGAGAGTGGCTGAGCCCCTCGCTGGGGACCTTGGCCAGGGCAGCACCGCCCCCAGCCCGCGGTGGCGCCCTCGCCGCGCCAGCCTCTCTCGCCCGACCAGTCTGGCAGCGCCGGCCTCGGATTTCAAAGCCCTGGTTTCGGCCGTGAATGGGCCTGCGCCGCCCGCTGTTCCCACAGCCCCTCCCGCCCCCCGCGGCCCCCTCCGCCGCGCCCACGTGACCGAGCCTCGGCCTCCGAT